TTCTGTGGTTTTGAAAAAACTATGGATAGATGTCCAGGGACATTCATCAGAATGAAAACTTGGGACAGACTCACTGCTCTCTGTGACCAATGGACGCCTCCTTTGAATGGGCTGTGACCTCAGGGGGTGTTGTCCAGACCCTGCCTCTTTGGGGTCAGACAGTGTCCTGTTTTCTCGGGGAGAGCAGGGAGGGTGGAGCTATTCTCAGAAGAGAAGGCAGAAATCAAAGATTCACACCGGGAGAAGAGAAAGGGAAGCTGGAAGTCGCCTGGAGGGAGTGATTGAAGGTCAGAAGGAAAGCCTTCCTCCCAGCCTGCCTTGACACGGAGCTGGGGCCTAACAGAATCTCCTGTCTCTTGCTGATTTGATGATAAAATATGGAGTGGACCCCCCGGGAGAGCAACCGCCTGGAGAAGTAGATGGATAATTGGCTCTGCTGGCGTGCTCGCTGCTGGGCCTGTGAGCCGCCCGCCAGCATGACTAACGCCTCTCCCTCCGCCTAAATTAGATTCTGATTGTGTTTCAGAGATGTTCACTGAATCGCAGATGTTGGAGGTAAAAAGACCCAAACTTCTGAGGAACACCTCCCGTGGAGCGTGTGGGGTTGTCACAGGCACGGCTGGGCACTCTCAGGCATCAGGCCAGAGGCGCCCCCTCCCTTCCCCGGCCTGGGGAGCAAGCCAGCTGCCCACAGGGGCTCTGAATGGAGTGGGCTCCGGGCCAGCGGGTGGGGGCGGGGAGAAGTGGGAATAGGCTCCTTAGCTCGGCTGTAAGCAAGTGCCTGGCCTCAGTGACTAAATCCTGGTGTTGACCCTGAGTTGGGCCCGGAGTGTCCCCTTCTCCGCACATCTGCATACTCACTGCCAGGGCAGGTGGAGTGGTTCAAGGTCCCCGCCGGTTCACCCCCACAGGCCCCTCAGCCACTGGACTTCTCCAGTCCGCAGTGCCATCATCGTAAACGCTTTCTGGTTTCTCTTGCAGAACTTAGCCTACGAAATCATCCTGACGCTGGGACAGGCCTTTGAAGTGGCTTACCAGCTCGCACTGCAGGCCAGGAAAGGGGGCCATTCCTCCACGCTCCCAGAAAGCTTTGAAAACAAACCCTCCAAGCCCATCCCCAAGCCCCGCGTCAGCATCCGCAAGTCCGTGGTAAGTAGAAAGGATGCAGGTGCTGGGGAAACCTGGACCAGAGGGGAAGGGTTGGGGTGCCGGTTAGACTCAGGGCCTGCCTTTCTTCACCTTTTCTTTGGCCTCCTCCCGGCACATGTCTGCCATCCTCTCAGCCCAGTTCCTGGAAAGCAGGGGGGACCATCTGCCTGAACCTGCAGGCTCCCGAGAAAGCACCACCCCCTCTGTCTCCTCGGGCAGCCAGGAGGGGCTGGGCCCTGCTGCTGCCCTTGTGAATCTTTTCTGAAGGTCCCAGTGTGGGAACAATGTTCCCTGAGCCTCCGGGAGCCATCCCACCGGGGAAGCCTCCTCGAGCCCCTGGCCTGTAGGGAGGTTGGCAGAGGTTCACGGTGAAGGTGACTCTACCCAGGGGAAGCTGGATGCACAGGCCTTGGGCAGTCGGAGCAGAGCTGCACCAACTTTTGAGTTTGGGGTTTTGGGAAGTCTAGATGGCTGGCCCCTGGCCCCTCCTCCTCATCCTCTGTCTTCCTCCAGGGATTTCCTCCCCTGCCCTCCCGGGAGCTCTGCAGACACCCTGTCTTACAGACTTGCATGCCTTCAGAGCGCCCTCCTCTGGTAGTAGCAACACCCAGAAGCGGAATGCTCCAAACCGGCTTCTGCTTCGTATGGCCCCCTAGAAATGCAGGGCAGGCCTGTCCTTCCATCTGTAACTCCCTCCCCTCCCACCAACCCCTGGCCCCAGGGCCCTGGGGGAGATGCAGGATTTCTAATGTTGTGTGAGGTTCACCGCTCTTTGTGACCTTGTGATAACCGTTGTGACCTTGTGGGTTCTTGTTGGCAATTTTCTTTTTGGCCTCTGCTCCTGTCACCATTCTCGGCAACATCAATGTCCCTGGGGTGGTCCCTGCCCCGGGCCTCTGTGTTCCTTGCCAGCTCACTCTGGGACTCCACCCGCCTCAGCCATCACGCCATGCTCAGCCCTCCTCACTGATCATCACCAGGGACTGGGCACCTCCGAAAACCTGTCCTTCACGCCCTGCCCCCTGATGCCCTGGTCCTCCCTCCACAGCCCTCCCTCCCCTTTCCGGCCTGGTCCTGACACACTCCCAGAACTCAGAACTCCAGACTCACAGGATCAGATTTCTTCAGCATTTTACAGATACCTGAAACAGGGTATATCCAGGTCAGGATGGTTGGTTCTCCCCTCAAGGTTGTTTGTGATCTTTCCCAGCTCAGTAAATGACACAACCATTTCCCACGGTGCTCCAGCCGTAAACCTAGACGTCACCCTGGACTCCTGGCTTCCCCTCGGCCTGCGTCCAGCCCATGAGCAGCTTCCGTCCACTCAGCCTCTAAAACGTGTCTCAGATCTACCCACTCTTCTCTATTCCTGTCACTCTTCTCACCCCGGGAGGGTCCAGCACCGCTCCTCCCTAAAACAACAGGAGTACACCTCCTAGCAGACCCCCGGCCACCACACGGCACCTAGGGTCTTCTCAGATCATAGATCAGAGCCCGGCAGGTGTGGCTCAGTGGATTGAGCGTCACCCCATTCACCAAGAGGTCACCGGTTGGATTCCTGGTCAGGGCACAGGCCCGGGTTGCAAGCAGGCTTGATCCCCAGGGGACGTGCAGGAGGCAGCTGGTCAATGTTCCTCTCTTATCAGTCTTCCTATCGCTCCCTCTCCCTTCCTCTCTCTCTAAAATCTTTTTAAAATATTAAAAATAACAAGCCCATAGGTCAGATCATGGCACCACTGCCCAGCTCCCTAAAGCCTGACTTCCCACTGTACTTCTGACGCTCAGGCCTTTCTGTTCCTGGGAGACAAAGCTCACTCCTACCCAAGGCCTCTGTCCCACCTGATTTCCACGTGGCTGACTCTGTCATTCAGATCTCAGCTACATGAGGGGGCTTTTTCTGGGCCACGCTCCCTCGTCACACTCAAGCTTATCACCGGCTCTTAATTCTGTGTAGCATTTATAAATGGAGATTTATTGTCTCTCTTCCCCTACAAAAATATGAGTTACATATCCAGGAATTTTCAGGATCCTTTTGTGGTTTCTCTTAGACTAGTCCAGGGGTCCTCAAACTTTTTAAACAGGGGGCCAGTTCACTGTCCCTCAGACCGTTGAAGGGCCAGACTATAGTTTTAAAAAAAACTATGAACAAATTTCTATGCACACTGCACATATCTTATTTTGAAGTAAAAAAACAAAATGGGAAAAAATACAATATTTGTATTTGCATGTGGCCCGCAGGCCGTAGTTTGAGGACCCCTGGCTAGCCTGTCCATTCTCGTGTGGGCTGTAATCAGTTCTGGGCAGGCGCCTCTGGTCCCCATAGACTCTGCCAGAAGAGCACTGAGGGCTGAGCGCTCTGCAGGCTCATGGAATCCACCTGGGAGTGTCACTGAGCAATATGAAAACACACAGTGACAGCACTGATGTGCATTAACGGCCTCAAGGCCCCGACCTGCACCTGGTGTCCGTGCTCCATGTCCCTCGGCCCCAGTCGTTTATTGCTGAGAAATAATCTGTGATTCCTGAGAATAGGTGACCTGCTCCCACAGCCTTATGGAGATGCAACCAAATCACGTGGGAAGGTAAGCGGTGGGCATGGATCTCAACCTCCGCAGGCTTCAAAGCTCACCGCGCAAGAGCAATGGGGAAGCCTCCCCTCCGCGCCCTTGCCCAGGGCTGCTGAGCAGAGCTGGGGCCAGAGCCAGGGGCAGACAGGGAAACGCCCTTTGGTGTTTGGTGAAGAACTCGCCCCAGGCGCTCCTGAGAGCTCATGGCTTTGCATGCACAGGGCTAGGCCAGCTTTAACCATTCTCCAGCTCAGCCTGACCTGGCCCTGCCCACCTCCCCCTGCAGGTGTCTCCCCTCCTGTCTCCCCCTCTGTGAACTGACTACAAGCCCTAAATGGGCCACGTTCCCTTCCCTCAGGGGCCTTGCCCATGCTGTTCCCTCTCCCCTGCCTTGGCCAGGCCGACTCTTGCTTTCCTTCAGCTCTCCATTTGGACGTTATCCCGTTCTTTTCATGTTACCTGTTCAGCAAGTATGTATGATGTGCCTACTGTTAAGTGGGTTGCCGGGAGCTTTTCTAGGTAGTGAACAGAACAGACAAAACCCCATCTACATGACAAATAAACAGATGCGACAGGATGTGTGTGGCGAAGGATTACACAGAATAGTAAGAGGAGAGCCAGCAAGCTGGGGCGCTGTTTGGGATGGGCCCACGGTGAGGAGGGGATGTTGGAGCCGCCACCTGAATGACTTTAGGACATAAAGCAGGCAGGGGTCTGGAGAGGAGCAGACGGAGCAGCCAGAGCAGCAGAGGCCCTGGGCGAGGGCTTAGTGCTGGGGGAGCTGCAAGGGGGCCGGTGTGGCTGGAGCGAAGCAAGGTAGGCAGGCAGGGCCACCTGCAAGTCACCTTGAGGACTTTGGACTTATTCTGTGATGGAAACCATTGGAGACTTGAGAATCAGGGAGTGGCATCACCGCCTCCTGCAAGTCCTCCTGGCTCCCGGACGTGGGGTCCGTGGCTTTCCTGCGGGCCCACAGAGCACCCTTCCCCCTCCCATCTCACTTCTCAGCGTTGAGTGTTGCCCTGTCTGCTCCCCAACCGTGTGCCTTCAAGAACAAGGCCCGCATCTCATTCCCCGTCTCTTCTCAAGTGCCTTGCACACGGTCCATATGCACTAAATGTGGTCGAAAGAGCAAATAAATGATTCTCACAGCCAACAGCCCTCAAGTCCTGCTGGGGTGGTGTTGGCCTCTGAGTAGCGGTAGGTTGTGTGCTCCCACCCCGTACAGGTACCACATAACAGGCATCAGCCTTTCTCTCTCAAAGCAGATCGACCCTTCTGAGCAAAAGACGCTGGCCAACCTGCCGTGGATTGTGGAGCCTGGACAAGAAGCCAAGAGGGGGATTAATACCAAGTATGAGACCACGATTTTCTGATACTCACCGTCCTCCCGCCCTCGTGGTGCCTTGCACGCCGAGCAGCCCGGAGCAGGCTTCCCTTCCCGCCTCCGTTCCCACCCAGCCCAGGAGGGAGACCGCTCTGTTTGTGTGGCCTTGTCACAGGCGAAAGGCCACTGGCCATTCCTGGGGACGTTCTTTCTGCACCAGTGACAGAAAGTGCAGCCGAAACCCTGAGAGGCACGAGCTGAGATTTCCGCGGGCTCCCGACTCCCCTCCCTGTCACCACCCAAGGTATTTCCAATGACTTGGCCCCCACACTTGCTTTGCTGTCGTTGGGGATAAACATCTTTTTAAAAAAGTGCAGGGGATCTCTAATACTGCCTAAAAGTATAAAAATCTTGCGTTTTTCACTGTCCACAGTTTTAAAGGTAGAATCAGAACAGAACAGCCCCCACAAAGCATCTGTAAAATCATTCTATCACTGAGCATCATTTCATGCAACAAAAAACCACCCTCCATAGTGGCCAGGAAACCCTGCCTCCCAATTTCTATATTTGTGGTTTTTTATGTCATCAACTATGTCAGCTAAAGAAAACCTTCACATCTACGAACTGATTCAAATTTACGAATGATTTAACGCAGAGAAATTTATTATGCACAGGAAAATGTGTCTTGTATTCAATATTTTTACTAAAAAGATGTTTCATTAATGCATTGATAAGCAAACGAGGTTAGTTGTGAGGGATGTTTCCAGTTTCGTTCGTTTCAAGTAACTAAATCTCGACTGCTACGATCAAGAAGGTAGGCTGAGCATGGGAAGGTCCTGGGACTCTCCCCGGGGCAGGAGATTCGGGCAAGCAGACGGGGCTCCCACCCTAAGTGCTGTCGCAGCCACAAACCTGCAGAGATTGTTTTTTTAAATCTTCACAGTGTTTTAAAGAACATGTTAAAATAAAAACCTAGGGCTCCTGCTGTCAAGATTTCTGTCATGGAAAACTTGTTTGAGAAAGGTGTTAATAAAATTCTATTGCAAAAATTTGTTTTCTAGAAAAAATAAATACAAAAAAAAAGAAGAGATTCCAAAGTAATAAAACTCTTTTCTTGACACAGAAAAATAATGTTTGCTTACTATTTGATTAAATAAAATTTACTTACATTTCATTAAGCTATTTTACTTTTTTTAATGTCTCTGTGGAGTATTTGTATGATAAATACCATAATGTATATTTATGTAGAATCAAATTATATACAGTACCAATATCATTATAGAAAAAAATAACATTTTAATGTATATTGTTCTAACTGACCATATTGTGGATCATTTTGAAGTTCACTATAGAGATATTGATAAATTGTGGGACTGTCTTAATGTTGCTTTTTTTAAAAAAAAATTAACCAATATGATTTTAAACCTGAGAATATCAGTTACATTCATCAGTTGGTGAGTTTTGGAAGATAACTACATTTTATTTCAAACTGACACATGTATATGGTTTCAGTTCAGTGTGGAAGAATTTTAATACAATATTAAATTACTTGAACTGAACAGTTCCTTGTACATATTTTGCCTATTCACTGTCGATATGTATGTAGAAAATGGAAAGTAAAATATCACATCTATGGTACCAAAAGGAAACTGTATAGAAGCAAAGTGAATAGTAGCTTTGCCGAAACAGAAACATACGTGTAAATATGCTTGGGCTTCCAGTTATAAATTTTGTAATTTTTGTCATTATTTATATCCTATAAAAAAGCACACAGAATAAAAAGGAGATTGTACAGCCGCCAGCGCCTGGCATTGTTCTGTGAGCACTTCCTGCTTCCATTTAGGAGGGGAACCAGAGGGCCAGCCCTCTCAGCATGCATAGCCGAAGGGATCTTTACACAGGCACAATAATTGAGGAAATCTGCTCATCTCCAAGTTCAACCCGTCTGAAAAGATACAGTGGCCTTCACAGCTTGAATTTCAGCCAAAAAGCCCCCGTTGTCTTGGTTGAAATATTAAAGTGGGCTGTGAGGAGAAATTGCCAAAACAGAAATTTCTACAAGAGGGAGTAACCACGAACCAGGTCACTTTTATAGGATCACAGAGATGGCAAGTTGGGTAAAGCATCTGCGTGTTTGTCTTAGCCCAGGCTGCCATCATGAAATACCATAGTCTGATGAGCTTAACCAATGCATTTAATTTCTTACAATTCTGAAGGCTGGAAAGTCCAATGTCAAGTCCAAGCCCGCACAGTGGTTTTCATAGAAGGCATTTGCTCTTGGCTTGTAGGCGGTCGCCATCATGCTGTTTGCTCACATGACCTCTGTGTGTGTGAGCCCGGGTGGGGAGCAGCAAGCTTGCTGGTGTCTCTTCTTACAAGGGCACTAATCCCATCATGAGGGCCCCACCCTTATGACCCCATCTAACCCTAATTATCTCCCAAAGGCCCATCTTCAAATACTATCACATTGGAGGATTAGGGCTTCAACATGTGAATTTTGAGGGGACACCAACATTCCATAACAACATTCATCAATCCTTTCATTTTTCCTAAAACGCATGTGCCAGCTGTGAATTGAGTGGTAATAGGGCCATGTTAGAGACACACCGGGGAAGATCAGTGGTTCACATTCCATACCCTGTGACTTTCAGATCTCTCCACTGCTGGATCCAAGTCTGTTACTCTGCAAAACACATGCCAAAGCAAACTTGGGGCACTCCCAGCCTGACATGTAGAGGCCCAGGGCTTTGAACCCCAAAGAGCTAAAACCATCCTGCAATGGGGTGGCATTCACAGAGGCAGAAGGGCAGGTTTCCTGAAGGAAGGTTTGGGCTGGAAATTTAGATGGTAATGCTTCAATTGAGCTACTTTGGCCCTTTATCTTTGCTAACCAAAGGTCAGTATTGCTTTTATTCATTATCTCCATGGATCAAATGCTTATTTGCATCAGTTATGGCCCCAGCATAAAGCAATGGCACACTCCAATTAGGATCATTTAAGAGTTTAATAAATAAAATACTTACATAGGTGTTGGCAGCCTGTAGGGTAACAGAGGGGGTAGAGCAGTGTCCCTGGGCTGGTGATGGACTGCGAGGGAATGGGAGAGGAGGGGGCTGCATACAGGTTGCGGAATGTGGCCTGGTGCAGGGGCCCTCAGCAAGAGAGCCAGGGATTAAAATACTTTGATCTCAGCCCTGGCCGGTGTGACTCAGTTGGTTGAGTGTTGTCCTGTGTACTGAAAGGTTACTGGTTCCATTCCCTGTCAGGGCATGTGCCTGGGTTGCGGGTTCCATCCCCGAACTGGGTGCGTATGGAAAGCAATCAATGTATGTTTCTCACATGGATGTTCCTCTCTCTTTCTCTAAGCGGGTGAGGATTAATATATATTTATATGGCCCTGACCAATTTGGCTTAGTGGATAGAATGTCGGCCTGTAGACTGAAGGATGTCAGGTTTGATTCCGGCCAAGGGCACATGCCCGGGTTTCAGGCTCAATCCCCAGTTGGGGGCATGCAGGAGGCAGCCAATCAATGATTCTCTCTCTCCCTCTCCCTCCCTCTCTGAAATCAATAAAAATATATATGTATCCTGATCTCACTCTCTACCTTCCATTCTGCATTACCTGAACCCACGGATGCCAGAGGGCGGAGGCCCACTGGTATGGTCTACACAGGGCAGCCTCTAGCCACCAATCAGGACTGGGAACAGGGTGGAGTGGATCTAAGTGGCAAACAGAGAGCGAGCCCCCACGTATCAAAGAAGGGATTTGAGCTAATTTTCTTGAAGGGGAAATCTGACAAGTTGGTAATTGCCATGTCCATGGGCGTGGGGATCCTTGAATGCTATTATTATTCCAAAAAGGACTTCAATTCAATCACTCCATTAATTTTTTTCTCCTTAAATTATATTCTATGACAAATTTGGGTAAATGAACCCTATGAAAATTATTCCTGGTTAGTTCATTAATAAGTCATGGAAGTGATTTTTCTCAAGACACCAGATTTTTTGTTGGAATACTTGGGAATATTGCTGGTGCATATATCACATCTGGATGTGATGGGGCGGGAGACAGGCTTAAAGAACAAATGGCCAAATCCCCAAAAATCAATAAAAATTCACACTTGGACCAAATAACATTGCGTCTAAGCTATTTCTGAAAAGAAATGAAAATCTGGTAAGAGGGTGAACCTCCAGAGTTCTTGCTTCTTCACTGAATTGGAATATGATGTCCGTGTTCAGAAGGCTATATGGAATAAAGCCTTTTTTTTAAACATTATGTTTTTCAGTTCTCTTTTTTTATAAAAGCTCTTCACTGAGTATGTTTCTTATAAAAATTAAGCAATGTGACCATTATAACACATTTTTTAAATTAAATATTTATTGTTGAAAGTATTACATATGTCCCCTTTTCCCCCCATTGACTCTTTCGAGCCTTCCCCTGCTTCCCCCCCGCCCCAGGCCTTCACCACCCTATTGTCTGTGTCCATTGGTTATACATATATGCATACAAGGTCTGTGATTTCTTCCTACTACCCTCCCCCGCCTCCCCTCTGAGATTCCGCAGTCTGTTCTATGCTTCTGTGTCTCTGGATCTATTTTGTTCATAAGTTTATTTTGTTCATTAGATTCCACATATGAATGAGATCATGTGATACTTGCCTTTCTTTAACTAGCTTATTTCACTTAGCATAATACTCTCCAGGCCCCTCCATGCTGTTTCAAAGTATACACATTTTCTTAAAATAAGATTGGGTAAGCGCCCAGCACAGGCCAGCAGTCGCGCTGCACCATGGTGCTCCATCAGGTACCCTCATCCCTGGACCTCATATCCATTTGCTGCTGTCAGAGCAAACATGTGAACCCAGGCATCGGCCTGCCCCGGGGGCAGAGTCCTGCTTCCACAGAAACCAGCTCCAAACAACTAGAGGATTTCCTTAGCCCCATCGAGTAATGACCATCGTGCACACTGTGAGCTTCCCTTGGTGCCCTCAAATCAGAACTTTCTTTTTTTGTTGTTGTTAATCCTCACCCAAGGATATTTTCCCATTGATTTTTAGAGAGAGTGGAAGAGCGAGACATCAATTGGTTGCCTCCTGTATGTGCCCCGGGATGGAACCTGCAATCCAGGTATGTGCACTTGACCGGGGATCAAACCTGTGTCCCTTCTTTGCTAGGGCCAATGCTCTAGCCACTTAGCAACATAATCTAGGGCAACCAGAACCTACTTTTGGTGGTGGGATTAATCCTAAGACTTTGGTACTGACCTGGGGAACACCAGTTCTACGTAACTGTTTCCTGTCTTCATCTCAAGCCAATGTAGTCACTCAAAACTCACTCTGAGCTCAGGGTGGCGCCACTGAGAGTTGTGAATGCAGAGCCAATCATCCCCACCCAACATACTGCACTCTGTGTGTAACTCCTAACAAATCACAGCTACAAATTACCGCCAAAACAATGTCTGCTTTCCTCTCCAAAACCCCAGAGACCTATGTAGTAAAAGCTGCACAGGCATTCCAAGAGTAATGACCAGCAATGCAGACTTACACATACATCAGACTGAAATAAAGATTCTCCAGGGGCGTCACCCAGCTGAAGGTGGCAGCTGAGGTTTTGGAGGGTTTTTTTTAAATATATTTTTATTTATTTCAGAGAGAGGAAGAGAGAGATAGAAACATCAGTGATGAGAGAGAATCATTGATTGGCTGCCTCCTGCATGTCCCACACTGGGATCGAGCCTGCAACCTGGGCACATACTCTGGGAATCGAACTGTGACCTCCTGATTCATAGATCAACCACTGAGCCACGCCGGCTGGGCAAGCAGCTGAGGTGGACCCATTGCTTGGCTCAGACACCTGAGGAGCACACGAGTCGCACACCAGACTTCATGAGCACAGCAGAGCTGACATGCACCTTCCAAGTCTGGCCATTTAGGAGGACTCTCAGTGCCACAGTGAGAGTAAGTGGAGATGGGTCGCTCACAGCCAAGTCAGCTCTCAGCCTGGGGTGACAGCTGGGCAGAGCAGTCCCGTCAGTGCTCCACTGAGCTGGCCTTGAGTCTGTGGCCTCCATCGAGCACCCCTACAGCTGCTCCTGGGGAGCCTGCCGCCCCCATCTTACTGCCTCTCATCAATAAGACACCTGAGGAGGGAAGTCAAGACGCCTCCACATAAGAAGCAACATCAGCTGATTTCTGACATTTGAGAAGCTGATTTTTCGCCACTTCTCAAACCTGCATGCTCAGTTTTCCCAGACAAAATAAAAAACAACACAAAAAAACCTAATGTGCTAAGTGATGAATCAGGGGAGACTTGGAAAAAGGCAGGCACAGGAAATTCAGAAATCCCATTTCAGCAGGCCATTTCTGGGGAGTTGGTCTGCGGGGAGGGGAGACGTGGTAAACTCAGACGGCTTCAAGGCCACACAGGTAACAGGAGTGGGAGGAGAGCTATGATGACCCGCAGAGCAACTGCC